TCAAGACAAAAACTCTTCCTCATTTAGATGAGTTTCACGGAAGAAATGTGCAAGGTGTTAACGCAGTCATTGAGGACAAGAAAAAAGATGATGGTCAAGAGAAAGAACAAAATGAAGATGACGGACTTGACCATAATGAAAATAAAGGAGAAAATTCTGTTTCCTTAGATGATTCACATCCATCTATTGCACAATACACACGAGGATCCGCTAGTAAAAGAAATGAAGTAGCTTTGTCATCAAAGGAAAAGAAGAGAGAAGAAGATGCAGTTATTGTTGCACAAGAACCAGATAGCAAAAAAGCTGAAGGTGAATCTACTGCTGAATGCATCGTCAATGCAGCCAGGTTGTTAGGTAATGATTTAATAAAGGAGGTCAATAAAGAGTTGATTAAGGGTATTGGGTCTGATGTGATGCTTCTAGAGAAATCTTCTAGGTTGGACAGTGCCTTGAGTAAAATTGAGGGGTTGACAGAAGATGAGAGGAATATTGCTCTCAGGAAACTTCCAGATCACCCTATACAAATGCTCATCTTCTTCAACCTTTCACCGGATCGAAGACTTGCATGGGTGAGGGGATTCCTCATGGATCATTGACTTATCTTCAAACATTCATAGATGATATTATATATCGCCTCAGGTATGGCCAAGTTCATCACTTTTTGATTTAAGCTTTACTTTCCTTAGCTACTATAGATTGAGTTTAGTTGGCATGGAATTTTTTAATATAGATTTTTTATTTGACAGTGATTGCCAAATAGGTAGTAGTCATTGTTGGAGTTTAGAAGCAAGAAATAGAAGGTGAAAATCAAGCAGAGAGCAGAAACAGAGGAAAAACTAGAAAATAAACATAAAGAGGGAACATGAAGACCATACATACTTCGCTCTTCTTCTTTTATTGTATATATATTTTGTATATTGATAGTAGGTGAGCAACTTACACAAAAGATCTTGTACATATCATATTACAAAAAAAGATAGATTACAATGATATGATTTTTACTTACTCCAACTAAAGCAAAATATAGTTCCATTTTGCTAAGTATCTAGTTAAAATTCAAGTCTTCAACACTCCTCTTGAATTTTTACTAGATACTCCAAGCTTGCTTCTGAACTTTTCAAACTTGAACTTTGATAAAGCCTTGGTAAATATATCAGCAACCTGTTCATTATTGTTACAGTAAACCATCTCAATTTCCTTACTCTGCACAATATTCCTAAGCACTTGAAATTTAACGTTGATATGCTTAGTATGACCATACTGGACAGGATTATGAGCAATAGCAATAGTAGAATTGTTATCACAGTGGATAACACAAGGCTTGAGTTGATAACATCCCATATTAGTTAGCATCTTGTTAATCCATGCTACATGATTTATGGCTTTTGCTACAACAATACACTTGGCTTCTGTAGTTGACTGAGCAACAACTTCTTGCTTTCTAGACATCCAAGAAAAAACTATAGAACCAAAAAAGAACACAAAACCAGTTGTGCTCTTAGCATCTTCATGACTTCTAGCGCAGTCACTATTAGAAAAACAGTGCAGAATTCCATGTTTATGCTTCTCAAACCATAAACCATAATTTGAGGTGCCCTTGAGATATCTCAACACCCTTTTTGCAACACCAAAATGAGCTTGACTAGGAGAATGCATGAACCTAAACAACAAGCTTGCTGCATACATGAGATCTAGTCTGGTTGTAGTAAGATACAAAAGACTCCCAACCAAACTTCTGTAAATAGAAGCATCTGTCTTCTCATAACCATCTTCAGCAATCAATTTTGAATTTTGAATTAAGGGAGTAGGTGCAGACTTGCATTGATCCATACTAAATTTCTTCAAAACATCAAGAGCATATTTATGTTGAGAAACAAATATACCAGATTCACATTGATGAATTTCCATGCCTAAAAAATAACTCATCTCCCCTGGATCAGACATTTCAAATTCTTTCATCAAATCAGCTTTAAAACTAGGCAATAACTATGAATTGCTACTAGTAATTAACAGATCATCAACATACAAAGAAACTAGTAATTCAGCATCACAAACAAAAGGATTTGAACCAGAATTTTCAACTAAAAAAGCTGTATCTTTGGAAGACTAATCTGAGTTGCATTTAACATACAAGGTTGGCTCATTCTCACTCCTTTGAAAACCTTGCTGAAGGAGAAATGAATCAATCCTGCTGTACCAGCGTCTAGGTGCCTGCTAAAGCTTGTACAAAGCCTTTTTAAGCTTATAAACCTTGTCTTCATGACTAGAAATAATAAAGCCCTCAGGTTGTTGCACATAAATGTCTTCCTGCAAATGGCCACTCAAGAAAGCTGATTTGACATCCATATGGTAAATTGTCCAGCCAAAATTAGCAAATAAAGCAATCAACATTCTAACTATATCATGTCGAGCAACTGGTGCAAAAGTATCACCATAATCAATTCCAGCTTGTTGAGCATATCCTTTCACTACCAATCTGGCTTTGTGCTTGTGAATGGAGCCATCGAGATTCATCTTGGTTCTAAACACCCATTTGACTCCAATTGCATTCTTTTCTAGTGGCAGGGAATTCAATTCCCAAGTGTCATTTTTTTCAATCATCTGTATCCCCTTTGGCATTACATGCCTTCATATGTCATGCTTGAAAGCTTCTACATAAGTATTGGGCTCTAAAACAGCCAGGTTGCATCTTTCATAAATTTCAAACAAGGATTTAGTTTTCACAACAAGGGAATAGTGGTACATTAGAAGCTGAAATTTCCTCTTTGGAAGCTTTTGCATGATCCTTGACAGAAGCTATATCACCATTTTTCACAATAACTCTCTTTTCCCAATCCCAGTAAGAATCTTCATCAACTTGTACATCTCTGTGAACTGAGATATTTCCAGATTGCAAGTTGTATACCCTGTAGCCTTTTGATTTTGTAGAATAACCTACCAGAATACCAGTTTCAGCTTTAACATCAAGCTTGGTTCTCTTTGCACTAGGTACATGAGTATAGCAAATAGAGCCAAAATTTTCAAATGATGTGCAGAAGGCTTAACACCATAACAAGCTTCAATAGGTGTTTTGCCTTGCATAGCCTTAGTAGGCAAACCATTCAACAAATATACAGCTGTATAAACAGCCTTTGCCAAAAAATTCTTAAGCAGCTTTTTTTCATGCAATATACATCTAGCCATCTCCATAATTGTTCTATTCTTCCTCTCAGAAACTCCATTCTGTTGAGGAATATAAGGGACAGTTAACTGATGTGCTATCTCTACATCTTCACAAAAGTTGTCGAACTCCTTTAAAGTGGATTCTTTTCCATTGTCAGATCTCAAGGCTTTGTTTTTGCAACCACTTTGGTTCTCAGCAAGTACCTTGAACTTTTTAAACATAAAGATAAACTTGTGCCTTGCTACTCATAAAACACACCCAGGTTGTCTTGGTGTAATCATCAACAAAAAGAATGAAATAGAGATTCTGACCAAGCGAAGCAATCTTCATTGGACCACAAACATCTGTATGAACTAGGTCAAGTTTCCGGCTTGCTCTCCATGAACTGTTGATGGGAAAAACTTGTCTATGCAACTTCCCAAATTGACAGCTTGAACATACATCATCATTCACATGAATTTCTGGCAAGTCTCTAACAAGTTCATTGGATTGAAGGAACTTAAGAGACCTCAAATTAAAGTGACCATAAAGAAGTTTCATCAGATTTTGATACATAAATAGCATGCAAGCAAGGAGAATTCCACGTAATAGGAAAGCTATTCTCTACCATCTTGATTCTAGCAAGTTCAACACCTCAAGAATCATAGATATAACATGCATTGTTGACAAATGAAATTGAATAGCCTTTCCTAAGCATCTGTGCAACACTTAACAGATTTTGACTCAAGGAAGATATAAAGAGAACAACATGAATATACTTTGTACCTTTCTTGGTCTGAACAGCCACAATACCCTTGCCTTCTAATTGCACTATTGAGCCATTTCCAAGCTTCACTTTGATTCTCATTGACTTGTCCAATTCAGAAAAAATTGCTTCATTATTTGCCATATGATAGGTACAGTCGCTATCCACAAACCATGAGCACTTGTCAACTGAACCGGAAGCAAGTAAAGCCATAAACAAGTGATCTTCAACTGTGCTTGCTACTTGTGCTTGTTGCTATTTTGGTCTGTACTAATTTTCCTTAAATCTGCAAAATTTCAAAATGTGACCATATTTTTTGCTGAATCTACATCGCAATTGCAGCTTCCCTTTGTACCAACAATCCTTGCCATCATGATTAGTTCTTTTGTAGATTGGACATGGAGGAAACTTATCATTCCTAGATAGCTAAGACTGTGCAACCACCATTTTTCCTTTATGTACTCTTCCATATTGCTGCTTCTTTTTAAAGGATGGTGCTAATGGCTTCCACTTCGGCAAAGCTTGGAAAGCACTTTCACGAGCAGCCATGCCTTCCATTCTAAGAGCAGTCCTTTGTTCATGAGCCTGCAACTTGCTGATCAATTCATAAACAGTAAGAGTCTTCAAATCACAAGACTTTTATATAGCTGATATTTTTGGCTCAAACTTCTCAAGGAGGCTCACAATCATTTTTTCCACAACTCTCTAGTCTAGAAAATCTTCACCAGGCAATCTTATTTGGTTCACAACATCCATAAGCTTGTTGGAGTGCTTATGAATGGTGTTAGTCTCCTTCATTCTCATCATTACAAACTCTTTCTTTATATTCACAATCTTCTGGCCTTTAATCCTTTCATCACCCTCAAATTCCTTCTGGAGTATTTCCCATGCTACTTGTGTCGTTTCTGCTCTCATTATTCTGGGAAATATCTCATCTGCAACAACACTATGGATCAATAAAAGAGCCTTGTAGGAACTAGCTACATACTGTACATATTGCTTTATTTGAGCTACTAATGGATTCTGAGGCAATCGAGGTGGATTAAAGCCCTTTTCCATAGAATCCCACCCATAATTTCCCTTAAGGAATGCCTTCATTTGAATGGCCCAAACATCATAATTCTTCCTTGTAAACAAAGGAAGGTTTGATAGGGAACCACCATGTTGACCTGAAGAAGAAGACATAGTTGTGATAGTTGATTACACAACACACTCCCTCACATACACTTGTGTTTCACTCTCTCACAGGTACCTCAAGAATGCTTGCTCTGATACCACTTTGTTGGAGTTTAGAAGCAAGAAACAGAAGGTGAAAATCAAGTAAAGAGCAGAAACAGAGGAAAAACCAAAAAATAAACATAAAGAGGGAACATGAAGACCATATATACTTCGGTCTTCTTTTTTTTATTGTATATATATTTTGTACATTGATAGTAGGTAAACAACTTACACAAAAGATCTTGTACATATCATATTACAAAAAAAGATAGATTACAATGATATGATTTTCACCTACTCCAACTAAAGCAAAATATAGTTCCATTTTGCTAAGTATCTAGTTCAAATTCCAGTCTTCAACAGTCATTCTTCAAACCAAACTCGTCATTCCCATATTGTTAAATATATAATTGGTAACTTCGTAAGTTATTTTTAGTTTTAAAGCTTCATTTTTTTCCATGCAATTCTTTCTCTCACCTTCTTTACCATGCTGTCCCTCATCACTACAGAGTCTTAACGGCCTTAGAAATAAGACTGAATGTGTGCTTTCTATAATCTTGATTGTAGTTACGTTTCTGCTTTTGTTTCTATATCTTCGGATGTTTGATTCAATTGTGGAGCCATTTATGCTTCTATTTCTTTTATAGTTTTCTTGTTCCATTTTTTTAGAATACACTGAGGAAGCTCACATCCTTCAACTTCAACTAACAATAAGGTGAGTGATTATTATTTTAGCTAATCTGCAGATTCCATCAGCTCGTCTAATAAACGCTTTCTTTTCATGAAGCACATGTCTTGAGGGCTGCTACTTTTCTTGGCACCCAAAATTTTTATGTGTAACTTTTTTTTATCTTTGTTGAATATATATCTTCACAACCACATATTTTTAGCATGTGTCTGGATGAAGGATTTCAAAGTGAGATTTCATAGGATGATTTAATTAATTGCATAATGAATAATGTCTAAAACTTGTTTCAAGGCTTGTACCAATCACATTTATACCCCCTTGGTCGAAAATAGCCATTTCTAGTCGTTAGGGTGCATTTAATATCCTATAGATTAGTTTAACATCAAGAAAAAAAGCATTGTAGACTTTATGTATAGAGCCAACTATAACTTCAGAGCCAGCTATGTAGAGCCGGCTATTATACCTAGAGCCATCTATCCTGCTCCATCTACACTTTCTATTTTTTTTTTTTGTTGAGCTAGCTGTAGAACACAGAGCCGACTTAAGAAACCTAATTTTAAAAGATTAAAAAATCTTTAAAGAATTTGACCGTTGAAGCATTAAATGCACCATCATAATCGGCTACAGAGTCATAGTCGACTTTGTGTCCATTTTACACACACGCCAAATTGCATGTTTGAAATTTTCACCTATAGAGCTGGCTATAGCTTTTAGAGTCAGCTTACTACATTTTTTCCTCACTAGAGTAGGCTACAAAATTGTAGAGCTGGCTCTTTGCAATTCTCCAAAGCCATCGGCAAAAACCATAGTTGGCTCTCTATACCAATTTTAGCATTTTGGTTCTTTTTCAATGTAATCCAAGTTCATTCACTCTTGTCAACTTTCATGTCATAAATTACACACTTAGATAAACAAATTAGTAATTCAATTGTATTTTTTAACAATCAAAATCATAGGTACAATGAATTAAAATTTTGTTTTTGCTTTATTTAAAAATAATATTATTTTTCCTTTGTTAAAAATAGAAATAAGTGTGTGATTACACTATTATAATTTATTTTATTTTAATTTTTTTATTATTTTTATAAAATTAATAATTTTAATAAAAAATAATATAAAAAAACACTCTTAATTGGTTTTAAACATATCCTTATTAGTCATTTAATGTTAAATAATAGCATTTAACTATTATATGACTAAATAGCTATATCAACCGAAATATGCTATCTATTATCTGCTATTCACTTTTTGCTATTTGTTGTTTACTATTCACTAACCGCCATTTGCTACCCACTAATTGCCACTTGCTACCCATTACCCACTACCGCTCTCCATTGACTTTTAACCATAGTACCAAACAAACTCTTTTGAGTTTCATTTCACCTTGTAATTCAATTCCTCTCAATTCTAAAGATTGAGAGTTACATTTCATATTTAATTTTGTAACTCCTCTTTTATTTATAATTCCCCTTTAATTAAATAATATGTTTGGTTTGAGGAAAATGATAGAGAAGGCAGGGGAAGAATGAATTTTTTAACCATAAATATTGTAATATTTAAAAATATTATAATTTAATTGGTTAAAAAAACTATTCCCTTCTCTCAAATCAAACATATTATAAGAGATGAGAATAATATTTCATGAGTTTTTTTTATAAAATATGAATATTATTTATCCAAAAATATATATTGAATACAATCAAAGTGGCAAAATGCAATGAATAAACTGTTAAAACAATTAACTTTTCACAATTTTCTTGAGTCCCCGCCGTTAAGCAATAACTAAAGACAGGCCGAAAGATGGCCTCCCACAAGCGAAGGCCAAATCTTTTGCCTACCTTCAAAAATGGATATAAGCAATCAAAGCTTACTCTTGAATATTTGATGAGTTATATTTTATCTTATAAATTCCTTTCAATTCAATAAGTTATCGTGGGAGTTTGCATTTTTCTTATTATACAATAATACAAACTACATTAAGAGCATCTATAATGATACCCTGTTTGGTTGTTCATCTTTTAATATAGAACAAAAATAGAGTTTTATCTCATTAGAATTTTTAAAAATTAAGTTTTGCTTTCTGCACCAAGTTTATTTGGTCGAGGTTTATGGGGCTGGAGGATTCCCATGCTCTGACTTAGCGGTCATGATCTTTGATTAAATGAGAATCACTTTTTGTGAGTTCTGTGTTCAAACCCACGGATTTTATTTTTATTCTCTCAAATTGTCCTGTTAAAAAAAAAAAAAAAGGATTTTGGGGCTGAAAAAGCTCAAAACGATGTCGTTTTTGCCCCATTTTATCGCAATTTTTAACCGGCTTGGCATGTGCGTCAGGCCGGTTAGGCCTGTGGCAGGCAAGTGCTTACATGCCCTCCACTTTCTCACCAGGCCCTTGGATTTTGAATCTAATGGCTTGGATTTTTTTTTTTCAAAATTTTTAGTTAAAATTTTTTATTTCAATTTATAAGAATGTAATTAAAATAAAATACTAATTATATGATTTTTATAAAGCTTTGATTAGGAGTATGCATTGGAGAAAATATCATCGGTTAGATAGTTAGAGATTCTATTTTAAGATTAAATATATAAAAAGAATATTAATTTATTTATACCTAATATTTACAAAAGATTTCAACTATTTATTTTTTTATTTTTAATAATTGATATTTATTTAAAAATCATAATAAATATCAACTATTAAAAATAAAAAAATAAAAAATAAAAATTTTATATAAATATGAAGTATAAAATTTATATATAGATAAATTTTCTATAAAAATATAAATTTATATAAAATAATAGGCGAAAGGTTCAAAAAAGCCCCTATACCGGCAGTATGGTGGCATATAAGCCCTCAAACCAAAAACGGAAACAAAACACCCCCTATGCTCAAAAGTCAGAAACAAATTAGCCCCTAGAGTAACTAAAGCCGTTAAGTGGCGTTACACAAAGTTGAAAAATTGCAGGATTAGTCCTCAAGTAAAACATAAGATAACAATAAAACCCCAAGAAAGTCTTCCTGGGAGATATTGTCACAAATACAAGAATAATACAAGATATTTATCATCAAATTGAGCAAGTGGCTCAATCTGAAGAGAGAGTCATAGCAGAAATGAAATAAAATCAACTAGCTGAGTTGAGACAAGAAAATGGAAAAATAAACTCTATTATAGCATTAGAGAACAAAGAATTAATAAATTAAGAGAAATAGTTGACTTATTAAAATCAATATGAATAATGAACAAATAAATTGGATTAACATGTATTTACTCAATACAGTGGGTAAAAACATAATTTGTAGTGAAGATATAATTATTGTTGATAAGATTCTAGAAATAGAAACATACTTTAAGAAAAATTAAAGAGATGGGAAAATCCCTCTCACAAGAGTTTGAGTCAATCAGAGAAAAAATAAATAGAATTAGAAATTCTAAAGATTTGAAAGAAATAAAAGAAGACTTAAGGTTTATCAGAGACTCGAAGACTATAATCTCTCGAATTAGAGATATAGAAGTCAAAATAGAAGAAATTCTTAAGATATTGAAAGCAGTCGCTGAAAAATTTGTCATCAAAACTTAAAGATGTATAATAAAATAATCCCACAATTAGAAAATGATATTGATAAGAATTTTTATAAAATCCAAACTCAACTTAGAGACTTACAAGATACTATAATATCAGTTTGTAGCAAATAAAATATTATAAAAAGAAATGAAGGATTTAGAATTGTCCCAAAGTTTTTGACAGAAAAACCTAAATCAAAGGGAATAACACTTTTTATGTTAAAAACTCAAGAAGAAAAGTTGAAAGAATTGGAACAAAAATTCTTATAAGAAGAAAATGCAGAAGAGTTAGACAATTTGTGTAGACAGATTACTGTAACCACCAAACAACCAGAAAATATGAAAATGAATACTCACAGAGAGGGAAAGGAAGAAATAGAGGAAGAAAGTGAAGAAGAAAAGGATGAGAGGCAACCTAACATTATACCAACAAAATTCCCGATACAACAAAGGGTAGAAGCTAGCACTAATCAAAGTTACAGAAGAAATAGAGATCAAATACATGAAATACTATATAATAAAAGGAAATTTGGAAATCAATCTAGATTTGAAACCCCAGTTAGAATCAAAGAGCAAATTATTAGTACAAATGGCATTTGGCTAGATCTAGACTGTGTAACTGACCCTGAAAAGGTCATTAGTGATTGGGCTCAAGCCACTTGGATAGCCATAGGAAATAAAAACTGGAATGCTTTACAAGTAGTTAGGTTCATAAAGTCACCTTTTGAGGGATAGTTCATGATTGGTTTGCTACTCTAAGCGAACAAGAAAGTAATGTCATTATAAGTGGAAATCTTGCGTTAGAAGAGGTAAACGAAAATGAAAGATTTGAATCAGCTATAAGAAAAGAATTTTTAGGAGAAAATTGGGAAGAGAATCAAGAAAAAGAAGAAGCTAGAATTGGAAGAATAGAAGTATGGAATTTATAGAATTTAGAATTATGTAATCTCTATGAGTTAGACCAATATATTTGTTTGTTTCAAAAATACTATTATAAAGCCTAAAATCATGGAATGGCTAAAGGCTTAAGAGAATTGTTTTTTTGAAAAATCCTTAACCCTTGGGGAATAAAACTAGTAGAAGCCTATAGAACCTATGTGGAAGGAAAGAATGATACATTAGGTCTAAGAATTTGGTTTGCTAAGACCAAAATAAATAAATGGTGTCTAGAAATTTATAGCTGTAACAAATTAAGAAAAAGCATGAAAAAAAGGTTATGTTGTCCTAAAAATAATGATCCAATCAAGTTTGGATGTAATTCTTCAAACTACAAAAAGAAAAACAAAAGATTTAAAATTAGAAGAAGTACTAAACAAAGGTTAAGAATAAATATTTTGGAAAGAAGAAGAGTTATTTTAAGAAGAAAACACCAAGAAAATATAAAAGGAGTCCTAAAAAATGTACTTGCTGGCTATGTAAAGAAGAAGGGCACTATGCAAATGAATGTCCTAAAAGATACAAAAGAGAAAGTATTAAAAATCTAAAAATCAAATGAATGTCCTAAAAGATACAAAAGAGAAAGTATTAAAAA